AAGAAAGAAAGAAAGAAAGAAAGAAAGAAAGAAAGAAAGAAAGAAAGAAAGAAAGAAAGAAAGAAAGAAAGAAAGAAAGAAAGAAAGAAAGGAAAGAAAGAAAGAAAATATAGAGAAAAGAATGTTGATTTGAGGTAGAAAATGCTATCTTAAAGGAATACGAACTGCAAGTACTAAAAAATTAAGTTTAGGGCCTGGAATTTAGCTCAGTGGTTCTGCTGCCTGCCTCACAAGCGCAAGGTCCCGAGTTTGATCCCCGATACCAAAAAAAAAATTAAGTTTGACAAATTTGATTAAATCATAATTTAAAACTTTTACATAAGCCATCCTAAGGATATGTGATAAAATGAGAATAAAATACACCCACTAGGTATGGAAAGAACTATGGTCCAAAATCATAACAAATCTTTACAAGTCACCAAAATGACGGTGAAAAGTAAAACAAAAACAAAAGGCAAACAGAAATAAGAAATGTATAAGACGACAAAAAATAAAAGCAGGCGGAGAACACACGCGGAGCGCTCTCCCTGCTGGAGATGGGGAGGTGAACAGGGGCCCGGGCTCCGACCATTGGACAGCCCGGCTCTGGGACTGCAGGCCACGGCGGGCAGCGGCCGCGCGCGCCCCCTGCTGGCAGCCGAGTGCGGGGCGGGACTGGAAATTCCGCAGGCAAAGCCGGTTTCCACAGGGCTTTGAGTTCTTTTTTTTGGTCCCGGGGACCGAACTCAGGACCTTGTGGTTGCGAGCCAGCCACGGTGCCACTGAGCTAAATCCCCGGCCCACTCTTTTAACTTTTAAAAGAAAATAAAGCTAAGGCCACCCTGAGAACTCAGTGAGTCAACATAAAATCAAAAGGGCTGGGATGGGCCTCAGTGTTTCCCTAGCAGTACCAGGTTCCACCCCCAGATTGGAGAAAGGGAGATACAGACAGAGAGTCTGATTTTCAAATAATTTTACCGTGCTATTTTTATACATGCACACATCATACATTTATAGTAACTTGGTTTTAGAGGAGTCTTTTTTTTTTCTTTTGGTACCAGGAATTGAACTCAGGACCTTACACTCGCCAAGCAGGCGCAGCTCAAATTATTTTAAAAGCTCCCCTAGGGTGTATGGGAAGACAACACACAGAATACATTACTTAAGTAAAAGAACACACAGGAAAACAAAACTGTATTTCTGTTCATACAGAAACCACTGCAAACCCCTTCGGGGGCTCCCCGCCTCTGGGATCCTCAGAGAAGAGGGCAGGAAAAGAGCCCCTAACCTGTGAGGAAGCAGTCATGGGTAACACACAGTTGGTGTGGTTTGGTTTTGTTTTGTTTTGTGACAGGCTCTCTCATTGTGTAGCCAGGCTGGCCTTGAGCTTGCGGTGATCCTCCCGCCTCAGCCTCCTGAGTCTGAGATTACAGGCATACAGCCCCACTCCCAGCTAGGTGCCTCACAAATTTAAAACCCTTACCTTTGAAAACTTGGCAGTGTATGGAAATTTAAAAAGACTTCAATTAAATTACGAGATATGAAAATACTGGTATCTTTCCTTGTTATCTTTTCTGACTTATACACACTTCAGTTTATTCAAGTATTACACACTTATATCATGAGAGTATGTTTATTTTCCAGGGGCTTTTAATTCGTTTGCCACAATTTCCCCACATATTTACATAATCACATCTCTTTTCTGGACATTTTAAACATTAGAATTGGTCAGAAGTTAAAAGGAAAAGCATAGTCTTTCAGTTGTATAAATATCACATTGAACTTCTGGATTAGGAACTTTTTGAATATAAAGATTGAAGCTGCTGGGGTCACATGTTTGTAGGTCCCAAGAGCTCCCTGAGGTCTAAATAGGAAAATATCTGTTATATACTGTAAAACTCTCACCCTAAAATAAAGCACTCTGGAAAGTACAGTTTCATCCACATTCGACAGCTTTACGAGAGCCAGAAATGTACCGAATATTTAGAAATGACATGGAAATCGCTTCACATTCAGAAAACAGAGCTTGCATCGAGATGACAGTGCTTGCAACCTGGCCCCCTTGCACAAGTCTGCTGTCAGAGAGTCACCATTGTCAAGGCAGAGCGTGGTGACACACACCTGTAATCCCAGCACTCAGGAGGCTGAGGCAGGAGGATCGCTGTGAATTCAAGACCAGGCTGGGTTACAGTGAGTTCAAGACCAGCCTGTCTCAAAAAAGAGAAGAAAAGTCACTATTGCCAAAATCCCAGATCCTGGGCTGGGGATTTAGCTCAGTGGTGCCTCGACTGCCTGGCAACCACAAGGTCCTGAGTTCAATTCCTGGTACTGAGGGGAAAAAAAACCCAAAACAGATCCTTGGACAGGCAGCAAAGGCTGGTTCATTTAAACTAAGAAAATTCCAGGAAGATTAGCTCCAACTGTTCTTTCAACTGGGGCATAGGATTTGAATCCTTAGTATGCCCCAGCCTTGCAGTGCTGCTGGTACATTTCTGGGTGCGCGACCTCCTGTTACCGCTCCCCGCAAGGCCACCCCTAGGTCCAGCACGGTCCTGAGCTGGCTTCCAGAGTGTCAGATTGGTGCTGGGTCCCCCATGGCTGACCCAAACTGACCGAGTGCGGTCAACCCCGGCATCACAGAGTTGGCATCCTGGACTCGGAGGGGCTTCTCTCCATCCCACCTGGTGTCAGCCTGAAGCCAACCCTGCCCGGCCCGAGGGCCCTCTTGGCCACCTGCAGCGACAGCTGCTGCATGGTGAGAGGCCTGGGTCCCGGTAACCATGTCACTTGTCCCATCCGTCCTGAGGCCCAGGAAGGAGGCCTCACTCACCTGTGAGAGCAGAGTCCGGTCTCCATTCAGTTCGTGTGCACACCTGGGTGTGCAAGGTCCATGCCCAGCCCTGCACACGCCTGTCCCTCACTACCCGGGCACCAAGGCCAGTCCAGCCCAGCCACTCCCACTGTCCCCACTCCACCCAGACCGACCAGTGCTGGGCTGACCCAGACACTTCGCCTACAGGGCCGGAGAAAGAAGTGAGGCCGTCACCTGCAGCCTCCGGGGCCCGGCCCGGCTCTGGAGGAAAAGGCGACAACTGGTCCACGTGTGTGCGTCATCACCATGTGGGGTCCCCTGCAGGGTCCCCATCGTCCCCACTGCCACCTCCACAGGCCCGGCCGCGGCCCAAGCGTCCCCTGGGGCGAGTCCTGCGTCTTGATCATGATCCGCGGCAAGGAGGTCATCCCGGAAACGCTTCTTCCCTCTGTGGCGCTTCACTGCAATTCACCCAAAGCCTGAAGAGCAGGAAAGCACTGCAGCTTCCCTCGCTGCTACACACGAGTTCCTGAGAAGGGGACTCGTGATCGCCCGGCACCGCTGCTGCCCGGTCCCTCTGCTGCCCGCGTCGGAGCGGCAGGAAGGGCCCCTCCTAGACGCCCAGGGCGGCTCCCCGGGGCCTGGCTTTGCCTCCTGCAGGCCTGGGCAGCTGGGGCAGGGGGCGCACAGGGCTTAACGGAAGTGGGAGCAGGAAACGGAAGGACGGAGAGGCAACAGAGGCCGGGCCGAGTGGGCGGAGGGGCAGGGAGCAGACTCAGTGACAAAGCCGAGGGAACACCGTGGTGGCTGCCCACAGGAGAGCAAGGGGTCCCGGCCATCGGTCGGGGAGGGCAGAGAGCAGCGCCCCCACCTGGGCAGGGAGGGAGGTGCCACTGCTCAAAACAAGCAACACAAATGCTCAGCGCTCCCTAAGGGTGCAGGACGCACTGTGGGAAACGGAGGGGACAGGGCTCACGACTCAGGCCCCAGAAGACCACGTCTTCCCCAGTGAGTCCTTTATCCAAGAAGAGATGACACTGACAGTGCTGCTTAGGAATGCACTGGTTCTAACCGGGTACGGCAGCACACACCTTTAATCTCAGCTACCCAGGAGGCTGAGGCAGGAGGATGGCAAGTTTGAGGCCCGTGTGGGCTATACACTGAGACCCTGCCTCAAAAATTAAAGACAAAAAAAGGACTAGGGTGTAGCTCAGTGCTCCCTGGGGTGAATCCCCAGTACTGCAAAGAGAAAAGAAGAATGGGCTTGCTCAGCCTGTTCACTCCTTCAGCAAGGGACAGACAAGTCTGCAGCTCCCCTGCCACCGCCCTGCCTGAGCAGGAGGCCCGGGAGGACCCTCTCCAGGCGTCCTGGCTCTCCCGAGCTCCATGTCTACCGGTCTTCCTGCACCCACCCCAGAGGGACAGAGCAGGGCCTCAAGAGCTGAGTGAGGACAGCGGCTCGGCGACCTTCTCTCTGCTGCAGATCTGGACACAGGGTCTCCAGCCCGTCCAGAGCGGGGCCGCGGAAGCCACCTGAATCCCCTCCACCCACCAGGAGCCCGAGGAGCTCCCAGGCCAGTCTGCAACATGAAGTCTGTGGCTCCGATTGTTCGAATTAAATACTTTTAAAAGTGCAGATGGCACAGATACTATAAGACCCACTTAGAATTTCTGAGGCCTTGGAGATCAAGGTATAAAGAGAAAACTCCCTCGGAAGTCACATCCCTGCCCCGGCCAGGCCCGCAGACCGACCTGCACAGGAACTAAAATCTAAGTGCACTCAACAGCAGGGAATCTTTGGGCTCGAGGGTACCAGAGAGGCCACCCTGGAGTCCACACCAGGAGAGTTTGCCTAAAAAAGCTTCGTAGTCAGTCCCGATCCCCTGGAAAAGAAAAAACATAAACAAAAACAAAAACAATCGTGCTCCCGCCCATTTCAGCTGTTTGCATTATTCCAGATTCCTTACCCTTTTCTACCTTTTAAGGATATCCAGATTTGACGTATCTATTTCTAGCAATCGTTTATTAAATTTACCGCATCTTAAATGACAGCTTTCCTTTCTATCTTGGTTAAAGTTAAAGACCTCCTATCCAGTTTCTCTAAGGCCCCTTGCTTAAAATGAGTTTACTTCTAGCCATAAATGCATGTTTATTTATGTATTGCTTCATGGTGATTTGACAGTTTTTCTTCATTTCAATTACTGTATGAAGAAGAGAGTTTTAAAATGAAACGCAATGGACTCGGGCCCCTGCCTCACTCGATTATTTTGCAGTGAGTCAACGTCTCCCTCGAAGGAGAAAACACCCTCAGCATCACTTAACCGAACTAAAGGAGAAACCCGGGACACCTGCATCCGACAAACGTGAGCGGGGTCAGCAAAGGCCAAGCCCAGCCACCAAATGGGGAGAACGCCCCGAAGTCACAACACTCGCTGCTGGAAACAGCACTTAAACAAGGGGGTTGGGGACGCGTGTATTAAAACTGCCTTAACCACAGAGACCCCTGCCCCTTGTAAAATGCTGCGAATTTGATAAGGAGTGAAAGTACAAAATTTTGTAAAACACACCCTTTGATAAATTAGTTTTAAAAAGTGCGGGCTGAAGCTCTCTCAAGGAAGGCTTTGCATGAGTTCCCTGCCAGCGCAAGGGCCGCTGAGCCCCGGTTCCAGGCAGGCCGCGTGCAGCGGGGCCGGAGCTCTCAGCCCGCAACCCTGGCCGCCCCTCACGTCCGCTTCCTCCAGGGCGGCGCCCGCCTCTCCTGCGCCTCGGCCAGGCGCCGCCTATCGGCGTCAGCCTCGCCCGCGCGCCGCCGCTCCTCCTTGGCCTCCTTGTAGCGCCACTTGGGGAGCTGCAGGTGGGCGCTGTCCGTGGTGCTGGCCTTGCGCGCCGCGCGCTCGGGCCGGAAGGTGGGCGCGGGCGCCCTGCTGACGCGGACCCGGGGCACCGCTGCTCCGCGCCGCAGGGGCAGGGCCAGGGGCAGGAGGCCGCCCTTCCGCGGGGCGGGCGCGGGCCTGGGGCCGCCCACAGCCGTCTCCCGGGCAGGGGCGCGCGGGTCCCCCCCGGCCGCCGGGACTTCCTGCGCCGCCAGTCGCCTGCTCCCCACGCAGGGCGGGTCCTCGGGGCACGCGGCCGGGCACACGATGGCCACGGCGGGGCTGTGCAGGCTCGTGGTCATCCTGACCACGTGGTCCAGGACGCCCCCGTCCTCCGGGTCCGGGCCCCGGCCCGAGCGGGGGCGCAGCGCGCACCGCAGGAACTCGGAGAGCCGCCGCAGGCAGTTCCGGGAGCGCGCGGGCTTCCCCAAGGCCTCGGGGGCCGGCGGCAGCTCGGGCTTGTACTTGGGCCCGAACTGCTCCGCGCAGGGTCGCTCCAGCAGCCTCTGCATGACGCGAACGGCCTCCACCCGGCCTGTGTACGCGGCCCACTCCTGCGCAGACATCCCGCGGCTGGGGTCCCGGGCCTGGACATCTGCCCCTGGGGAGCAAAGCACAAACACAGGTGGGATGCCGGGGATTTAGCTCAGTGGTGCCGCCTCCTTCCTAGCAAGCGCAAGGTCCCGAGTTCGATCCCCGGTACCAAAAAAAAAAAATAGTGTGACCCTGGGTGTGCGTGGCACCTATCAATAGGCTTACAGCCTGGATAGACCCTAAAGGGACAGAAAGAAGGCTGCTGCTGCTGCTGCACTACTTTGCTGCTTTGCTACTTCCTGCCTACCCTGCCAAGGACTGCTTCCCCTCTGCCGTGCTTCCCTGCCTTGAAGGCACCCAGCTGCAGAATGAAACCTTTACCGACTGTGAGCCAAAATAAAAACCTTTCCTCCTTTAACTTTGGGTATTGGAAATTTTGTCTCACAAATGGGAAAAGTGATCAAGACAGATTTTCTTCTCACTCACCAGAGGACTGCGGTGAGTCTTTTTTTTGCGGGGGGGGGGGGTACCGGGGATTGAACTCCGGACCTTGTGCTCGCAAGGCAGGCATGGTGCCATTGAGCTAAATCCCCGGCCCTGTGGTGAGTCTATTTTGAGGGAATGTGGTCCTTCGCTGCTCACCCTGGGGATGGCTGGCAACCAGTCTGCTGCCTTTTACAGATGGGGCAGGGGCCTCCCCTTACCCATTTTTTTCTCCTGAACACATCTAGTTCTCAGAGCCAGGGGCACGGATTTAACAAAGGTTCCACATGGAATGAACGGTTGGTTGTTGCAGTCACTGCCGGCTGGTAACAGGGAGCGGAGAGCAGGTCTCAGACCTGGGTCCCTCTACCCAGCTAGGTGTTTCCCACCTCCAGCAGGGCAGGTATGGTGGTGTTCATGTTGACTTGGCGAGGCTACAGTACCCAGTGGTTTAATCACACAGTAAGCTCAGTGCTGGCCTGGAAGGATCTGTAGCTGTGGTCAACATCTACTGTTGGCTGACTTTAGGGCAAGGTCACCCTCGAAGATGTAGGTGGCCTTATCTAATCAGTTGGCTGCCTTCTCAAGCAAAGACTGGAAAGGAAAAATTCTGCCTCAAATCAGCATCAACTCCCACTTGCAGAACCACTCTACAAACCTTAGATTTATCTCTCAAAACTGCATGAGACCATTCCCTAACGTAAGTGCTGTCACACGCTCATCCTGTCAGTCCGTTTCCCTGGGCACCCCTGATGGCTAAGTTCCCACCGTGCTCCTTGTTCTCATCATTCCCCAATACAAGGCTCCCCACACAGTGTCCCCCAAAACACTGTAGAGTCCCCTCAACCAGAGTTGCTCTTCAGTTCATCTTGATCCAACCTCAGTCCTGCATACAGTTAAAAATCACACAGAACTTCCTAGTGCCATTAGTCATCTCTCTCGTGGCAAAGCCATGTGTGGAACTAGGGCAGCTGCATCACTGCCAAGCTCCCCGGGGACTGGGGCAGGCAGAAGCATCTTCATTCACACCCCACTCGGGCCCAGGTGCCGAGGCAGACAGCTGATGACCGCGCTGAGCCGGGTGGGCGTGGGCTAGGCCTCAGCTCACCTGAGCTCACCTGCACTCACCCGCACTCAGCTGCTCATGGTCTCAATCCCGGGACATTGCATTAAAGAACAGCATCTGAGAAAATCACTCATTATTTGGAACTGGAAATTGGGAGGAACTCATTAGCCAGAGTACAATTTTTAAATGGACTCCAGTGGAAAGGGGGCAGTAAAAATGTCATTGCAAAAAATAGATGACACATTAAACCTTAATTAATTGCATGTCACTTAAGAAAAGGAACAAATTGCAAAATTAAAATCTTAATGAACGCTGCATGAAAGCGATATTTTTCAAATGCTAATGGCATGAAGGCAACAGCTGTCCAGAGTTTAGCTCCCCTCTTCCCTCTGTCCTACCTTTGCAAAACGCTCCCTGAAAATACAAACCCTATTGAAAACCCTAAAGAGCAAGGCCACTCTGACTGCCACACAGCCCGGCACCAGGCTCCTACCGTTTCTGAGGATGCACTTTGTGAAGCTACTGACAGGGGTGACACAGGCGGCTAGAACCCAACCCCTAAGCCATGAACCACAGGCTTGCTGCCCTCCCGCACCCACAGGGAACCAGCCCCAAAGCCCGAGCATGCACAAGTCTCTTACATGAAACTTTTCATATAACCTACACAACCCTCCTGTGCATTTTAAATCATCTCTAGACAACTTGTACTGCAAACAGTTGCTCTACAGACTGTTTAGGGAATAATGACAAGAAAAGTAAAGGCCTATACATGTTCAGAACAGACCCATTTTTGAAAAATATTTTCTATTTGTAGCCGGCTGAATCCACAAATACAGAGGGCCGACTGTACTAATTCACATTTTCTACAATACCTTTCAGAGAAAATAGACAGCTTCTGAAATGCCAGTCGGCCCATGTCCTCCCAAGTGTCCTCCCCTCCCACCCAAGGTTATTTGTCCCAGGCCTCCTGTCCCCAGCCAGCAGCCCCATCTGCCGTCGTGCTGAGCGCTGCAGGTTGCCAACATCCTCCGTGTGTTCAAGGCAGCAATATGCTCAGCCCGGGCAGAGGTGGCGAACATTGTAGAGCTTTCGATGGTAACAAGCAGCCGGCTGCGCGCGTGCCGCAGGTTCACCACCACTGGGTAGGTGAGGCATCGCGGTTGGTCTAACCCAGCAGTGTCGGCTCTCACTGTGACCTTGGGCACAGCAGGAAGCAGGGTCAGGGGGTCCAAAGCTATTGGGATTTTTGGCCAGATAATGATCATTGGGGGCCACCCTGCTGGTGCACCTCTCACAGCAACCCTGAGGTGCTAGGAGCCCCCTACCAGCTGCAACAACCACAGAGCCTCTGCCGTTGCCAAAGCCCCCCAGACTGAGAATCCCAGGACTCATCTGGCACCTGCAGGCCTGTTCCCCACTTGCCCGGCCTCCAGTGACCCTAATATCTGCCCTGTGATGCGGGGGCCCCTGTGTTTGTCTGCTGACTCCTGTCTTCATCAGAGAGCAGAGGCCAGAAGGTGCAGTGATGCTTGTGGAAGGGAGAGGGGGCCAAAGGCAGCGCCCTCAGGGAGCTGAGTCAGGAGGAAGAGCCAGGTCTGGGGTGTCCTTGCGGAACCAAGGCCAGCGTGGACCCTGCATGAGGGCAGCGGAGCCGACACCTCCCTTCTTTAAGCCACTGTCAAGCCAGGATTTCTGTCTCCAGCAGACAAAATTGTTCCCCAAAAGTGCTGAAGGGAAACAGTCGACTTCTGGCCCCTTGTTCCCAGGCACGAGTTCTCCTGGGAGCCATGGCAGACCACGGGTCCGGGGAGGTGGCAGAGTGAGGAAGTGGGGTGTCACCCCCCTCCCCCTCGCTCCACCAGTGCCCAGCCCCCCCGTCACCCCACAGAGCCCGGGGTTCCCCACATACACCCCGCATCACTTCTGGCCTGGCCCTTGGGGACATCAGGACACAGGGTCACAGGGATGGCCCAGCAGGGACCGCAGGGTGGGGTATGGCGACCACGTGGCCTCCTCACAAGCCTGTCCCTGCTGCAGGAGGACAAACTGCAGCTTCCTTGCCCCTTGGAGCATCTCCGAGAGACTCCTCTCTCCGCGCCCAGCCGGGCTGAGCCCCAGGGCTAAAGTGACCACTCCCTCGCGCATCCATGGCAACACGGTCGCCCCCTCCCGGGCTCACTCCCCTCCCGGGCTCACTCCCCTCCAGTCTGTCCTCTCCCTGAGGTCATCTTCCAGAAAAACTACCTGTCCCCAAGTCCTTTTTTCGGGGTTTGATTTGGGGTGAGTGGAATTCTGGCCTGCAGATTTCTCTGCTAATAACAACGCACAGTTCCCACACGGCACAGCCTCCACTTGCAGAAGTTCGTGCTCCCCAAGGAAGAGCAGGCGACCTGTCTTGATAGAAATCACCTGGTTTTCCAGGAGGCTTCGGTCCGGGCTTGCCCAGGACGAGACCGACCGAAGATCAACAGCAGAGGGCTGCTCCCTGCCTCCTCGCCTTCCTCATCCCTCGCTTCCCTGGCGTGGCAGCAAGATGCAAGGTTTTCTTTGCTTGTTTTTCTTTGCAGAGGCTGCAGCAATTGACCGCACTTCAAGCGAGAGTGAGCTCTCGTCCTCAAGTCTGGAAACTGGCAGCCTCCTTGAGAAAAGATCACGTCCTCAATACAGCTGCTCGGCGCCACTTACTAAAACAGACCTGTCGCTTTGGGGCGTTAATAGTCCACTGAATTAACAAGGTCCACAGCCTCCCTTGTGACTGTCATCTGCACAACTGACACTATTAGGAAGCCACACACTAAAGACCCAACAAATCAGCTCTGGAGAAGCTGGTTAAATCTTTTTTATTAAAATCCAAAGTTCTGGTAATTCTAACATTATGCTCTTCTACCTGGCAATGCAGATAAGAGCCGATGTTCCCCTGCATGCTGTGGACCACTGGAAGTGCAAATATTTATCGATGCTGCACGGAAGTGCTTCCTGCTGGATACAATGCAATCGCAGCTTAGAAATTCAACTCGGGTACAGAAAAGCACAAGGGACTAAAGGATATTTCACTTGGAAAAGCAAAAGAGAGACTCTTTTTCTATTAATATGTGGCCTTGCTTTTAAACTGATCACAGGATGACCAGGCCATCTTTCTCATGGTACCTAGTGCACACTGTGTCAAAGGGTTAACCTAAAAGAAATGTTTTTGGTACCTTTGAATATTTTTTTTTTGATAGTGAAAATTGCTTTTTGAATATATACCTGTGTGCATTCATAATTCTCATGCTAGTACAAAAATTTAAAAAGGAAATATGTATAGCAGAAGAAGGAAACATGCCAATCCTTTTAAATTACACAAAGCTATCTTTTTTTTCTTTTGGGGGGGGGCAGGGTCTTACTATATAGCCCAGCCTCTGATTCACTGTGATCCTCCTGCTTCAGTCTCCTGAGTGCTCAGATTATAGACATGTACCATCAAATTACACAAATGTATCCCAAAGGGGGAATTTATACTTTGACTTTGGTCTTTCACAATAATATAACCTTACAATAACTGGCAAGTGAATTTTAATAAAACCAAAACATCTTCCCAAAGGTAGGTACATTTTAGATAATTAAATTCTACCACTGATGCAAATTTAATTTTTCTTAACATTGATATACTTAAGTGGAAATAAAACATAAAAGTAGCTGTGCAAATTTTTTAAATATCTCTGCAAGCACCCTTACTAGAAAGCTGTTCACTCACATTTTTTTTTTCTTTAAAACACACAATTCTGGAAGAGGAAAATGAAATTCCCTTTTCTGGGAACAACTGTAAGCTGGCCGAGTGGTGACATAGCAAGCGAACACATTCAGGAGCTAAGCTCACCCAGCCAAGCCTGAGACGCAGCAGTGCAACTGATCCCCAAAAGGCGCGTGTTTATTTTAGGCAAGCACAAGGTAGGCTGAGTTACATGCTTATTGTCCTCAATGAAAAGGCTTAATGGGAGGCTGAGACAGGAGGATCACCATGAGTTCAAGGCCACCCTGAGCTACACAGCAAGACCCTGTCTCAAAAAACAAACAAACAATGTAACCAAATACCCATGGGGGGAACAACACCAGCCCCCTGCCCGGAAGTGCCTCACCTCTCCTGGAGATGAGAAAAGCACTCCTATCATCCCATAAATACCTGAAACGTGAGAGAGCCGGGGAAGGGGAAGGAGCAACAGGGAGCAGACAGAGCCCCGCACCTACTCGGGGATGAGTCTACGGCACCTGACAACCCCAACCCCGTACGGAGTCTGTAATCTGAATCCATGCACTGGGGAATACACTCGTATATTTTTGGTTGAAAAAGTAAATTTCTGAAGCCCTGCTCTCAACCCTACCTAGATCTGGAAGATGTAACCGCAGGCCAAGCTTCCACAAACTCAAAAGTGTCCCACAATCGCCGCAGGAAGGAGCCCGGTGCCCCCTCTTCAAAGCAAAGCTGCCCCTGTATCCAAAGCAAAGTCAACAGATCTGCTTTAGCTATGATCTTTCACCACCCAGAAGGTTCCCCATCCTCCAAGCCTCTGTCCTTGTCCACTGGCTTTATTTTTCTCATCGAAAGCAGCAGGGAAAAAAGCCCAGAGTTTTGTGTCCTAACCCGGACTGAACACTAGGACCAGAGAGGGGCTCAGGCTGGGGACACTGCTCCGTGTCCAGCCCCATCAGCAGGCTGGGTGGGGGAAGTGTCACCAGCCCAGCTGGAAACTCAGTGGCCAGATGTAGGAGCCAGCTGGATCTGGGACAGACAGGAGCGGAAGGAAGAACCCTGGAAGACATCTGATTACATTCTTGAGTGAAGATGGGGGAGCCGAGGTCTGAATGTTGGGGGCCCCCAGTACAGGGCTGGAACTTCACATGCGCCATGATGGGGTTAAGAGGGGACTAGACACAAGGGTGGGGACCTCTCACTCTGGATTAGTGCCCTTTTGACACTGGCCCCTTCCACCATTCGAGGGCACAGCATGAAGGAAAGGGCCCCGGCCAGACATGGGTCCTCGGAGCCTTGGCCTGGATCTCCTTGGCCTCTGGAACTGGAAGCCATGAGTGCCCAAGTCTTTAAGTCACCCGCCTGGGCACCTGTCACAGCGGAGGGATGGACTGAGACAGAGGGAGAGGCCACCTCTCCGGGCCCCACAGTGCCAGCCAGGACCAGCCCAACTCAGGGCCCAGACCAAAAATGAGGCTAAATGAAAACAAGGAAACTGAGTAATAGCAGCAGCGACTGAGTTGCTAGGTGCTGATTCCATATCCAACCCTACATGCACTTTTCAGTTTCTCACTTACTTCTCAAAATAACCTGCCGAGGCTGCACCCAGGGCGATCTGTGATGCCACCCTCGGGTCAGGACCAGAACCACAGAGACCAGTCACGGGGAGGTGGCTCAGGAGTCACCAAAGTCCTGCTGTCCTTGGGGTTTGCAGGGGAGAGAAAGGGGGCATTGCTCCCGTCTCGGGGTGGGACAGGGGAGAGGTTCTGCAGGCTGACGGGGCCGGCCCTGTTGGTCTGCACTTAGCCTGAGCACTTCCCACTCTGACTCACAAGGGAACGGGAAATGCCAGCCGGGCGTGGTGCACACACCTGTGGTCCCAGCACTCTGGGAGGCTGAGACAGGAAGATTTCCAGTTTGAGGCCAGCCTGGGCAACTTAGGGAGACTCTGTCTCAAAATAAGATATCAGCAGAGGGCAGAGGATATGGCTCAGTGTGAAGGCCCTGGGTTCGATCCCCAGTACTGAGAGACAGAGAAAGAGAGAGAAAGACAGAGACAGAGAGGCGGGGGAGAGGGAGGAGCATGGGGGAAGGTAGGAAGGACGGAAGGAAGGATGGAAGGAAGGAAGGAAGGAAGGAAGGACGGAAGGACGGAAGGGGAAAAGCTGCACAGCACACGGCCCCAACTCGACCCTCAGTGAGCAGTGGGCAGCATGGCTGGCGCATCCTGTGCCGCCCTTCATCCTGCATTGCCCACAGCCGGGCCCCACTGTGCACAGCCAGGCAGGGCTGCTAAGGACCTGCACGGGCGGGCTGAGGAGCAGCAGGGTGGCCAGGAGGACGGAAGCTGTCACCCTCTCCCAAGCTCAGCAGGGAGCAAGAAGCGGGGTGTCTTCGGGGTCCCCAATGCTATGACCGAAGCCCTGCAGCCCTGGCTTGTGGCTTCTGACACGCAGGCGCCAGCAGCCAGCACCTCGGCAAAGCCCTGCCCGTCCCTGCCCTGTCAGCCTCGGCCTATCTGATCCGTGGCTGCGGACAGGGAGGCATGGTCTGTTCTCTGCAGGGGCAGCTTCCATTCCGGGGCTGGGGACCTGTGGGCAGCGGGAGGCGGGACGTACCTGCCAGCATCAGGGCTCGGACGCAGTCGGTACGGCCCTGCATGGCAGCTTTCATCAGGGCCGTGAAGCCGAACGCATTCCTCCTCTCCAGGTCCAGGCCCGGGAAGTAGTTCAACAGGTAGTTGGTGATGGTGGCATGGCCTGGAACAGGAAGTGTAAGAGTAAGTGAGGGGGAGACAGAGAGGGAGACAGAGAGAGATTGGCATCCACCTGGTCCCAAGTCCCCGTGCGCGTCCTGCCAGATCCCAGCCAGGATCTTCCTGGGCTCCAGGAAGCTGGAAGCCAGAGGTCTTGGTGCCGCAGATCCCATCCCCTCCACACAGCCCTGCAGCCAAGGCCTGGGAGGCTCAGTCCCCAGACCGGAGGTGCAGCGGGAGCTGCCAGGGGAGTGGCCGAGAGCTCCCGAAGGAGCTGCAGGCCAACAGCTGTAAATGAGCTCCAGGTCCTGGTGCTGGAGCTTTATCCAAGCGAGTGGATGTCTCCAGTGCAGCTGACAGCTGATGCTGACGCCTCTGTTGCCACTGGGAAGCCATTACACACACACACACACAGTCCTCAGCCACAGACCTGCACAGGTAAGAATATTCACTGGAGAACACAGGTTTCTCCAGGGAGGTGGATCAGACCAAGAGACAGAGGGAGAGTCGGGGAGGGATGAGGAAGAAGGAAGTTGTACTGTGTGCGCCCCAACTCCCCACGAAGACCAGGATCACGATGCGCTGCAGGCCTGAACTGAAAAAATCAAAACTAACACATTTTTAAAAGGAGAACATAGATTTCTCCCCTTTGGCGCCTTGCTCCTAAACACAGACAAGAGTGCTGTTCTGCTTTTGCCCAGAAAGTCTCAAAATGCGCACAGAGCTCGAGGCTGGGGGTGGGCATGGGAAGCCAATAGCCCTTCTGGGGTGACCTGCAGAGAACTCCGACCTCGGAAAGCACCTCTGCCAGAGCAGTGGCCCTGGGGCCTCCATCCAGGCCGCCCGCTTGGGCCCTGAGAGCAGGCCGGGCCTCCCCTTGCTGACCTGGTTTTGGGGCTGTCCTGCACACGGCTGGACCTCACAGCATCCGGGTCTGCACCCAATCTGGATGCCAGGAGGCCAAACCCTCACGCTGCCCAGCTGTGCACCCACACCCAGGATGGCCAGAGTCCCCAGGATCCCCTCAGAGAAGCCCCGTCCTCCAGGCCCGGCGTGGGTTTCATGGCCGACCCCACCAGGCCAAAGGCAGCCCCACCCCACAGCTGCTGTGTCTCGGTGACCTCAGCAGGGATGGCAAAGGTGGCCTCACTGCCAGCCGGCCTAGCACCCAGTTCTCCCAGCACCATTTGCGGAAAAGGAGATCTTGCAGGGTGTGGTTTTGGCCCCTCGGGCACAGCTCAGCGGGTTGAATGTGCCGGGGCCTGTTTCTGCGGCTCCCTCCCTCTGTCGATTGATCCTCAAGTCTGTTTTCGAGTCAAATGCAGTGCTGTTCTCACCAGTGCTGCTTTATAATATGACTCAGAATCGGGGACTGTGATGCCTCCATCATCATGAATCAACAAATGGGATCACATCAGATAAAAAGCTTCTGCACAGCAAACAGCACAAATGGCAGAGAAGAGAAACAACCTACAGAATGGGCAGAAATTGTCCCCAGCTACTCCTCTGACAGGGATCCAACATGTAGAATACAAAAGGAGCCAAAAACATCAGACCCTCCTCCCAAAATAAGAGCAAGTGAAAGGATTAGACACTTCTCAGGACAAGTACACGTGGTCTATAAATGCATGAAATCAATGTCTTTGGCCATTAGAGAACTTCATATTAAAACTGCATTGAGCTTCCATCTCACTCCGGAAAGAACGGCCATCATCATCAAGAAATCAAATAATACCAAATGCTGGCAAGGCTGTGGGGAGGAAGGAGCCCTTCTGCACTGCTGGCGAGAGCATAAACAACTGCTGCAGAGAACAGCATGGAGAGTCCTGAGGAAACAGAAGCTGGAAATCCCATTCGACCCAGCTATTCCCGACTCGGTATCTTCAAAGCAGAGTTGAAGACATCTCATTACAGTGATCCGTGCACACCCATGTTCACAGCAGCTCCATTCACGATAGCTAAATCTTGGAAGCAGCCTGTATGTCCAGCCACAGATGAATGGGTAAAGAAAATGTGGAGTTTACACACCATGGAGCCCTACTGTGCCATAAAGCAAGATAAACTTGAGGCATTTGCAGGAAAGCGGCTGGACCCTGAGGCCATGTTAAGAGAAATCAGACACACAAGCTGAAATATCACGTAACTTCTCTTATATGAAAACCCTAAAGTATAAATAATTTTTTAAAAGACAATGGGAAATAGGAAGTTAGATCTTTTGCAAATGGCAAGAGGATCCAGAGACAGAGAGAGGAAGGAGGGAGAGGAAGGGACAAGAAAGGATGAAGACGCGTCCACTGTGCGCACCCAGTCCCGAGGACGAATGTAAGCGCTGTGGAGTGCAAACGTGCACTAAGAGAAAACCCGGGAAAACATAAACAAACTGTGAATTAATACCGGAAACTAGGAGCGTTCAGACTCACAGGCAGCATGGCTGGCGGCTTCCTGCTGACCCCAGCCCGCTTCCGAGTGCACCGTGGATCCATGAGCCTGCCTCCCGGAGAGAAACGGGCCGAAGACAGCAGCACCCCGGGGCCGAGGTGCAGGGACGATGCTGCAGCCCCTGGGCGCGGTGCCCTGGCCTCCCCACTGGACTGGGCACCGGCTCTGTGATCTCCCCGGGACAGGGGAGGCCGGCGGGGGCCTGTGGAGCAGCGGTCCCAGAACCCGGCCTTCCGTGGACACCGGAGGGTAACTCCGGTTACCCGGCACTCTCTCCAGGGCCACCGCAGAGGCCCAGCTCTCCTCCCCACGGACCCCTCCCTGACCACGCCCTGTCCTCATCCCGCTGCCCAGCCCAGGCATCAGCTCCGAGCCCCGCACCCCAACACCTCCCCCTCCCCGCCGGCCCCCTCAGCGTCAGCACTGTTGGTCCCTGCGGCCAGAAACCCGGGGGAGTCAGCACCCCAGCCCTCGCCTGCGCCATGGGAAAAGCCCGATCTGGGTTTTCTGGGACGGTCAGAGACTCAAAGCCAGAGTCGCTCTGCACCCTGACTCCTGGCAGGTCACAGACGCCTGGGGAGCCGAGGGCCAAGCAGAGCCCCGCTCAGAGCCGGCCCAGCCCCACAGAGGGTCCCAGGGGCGCCATCTACAGCTGTGTCAGCCCTGAGGTCACAGGGTCTCGTCCCTTCCAGAGAGCGGACACCGAGGGGAGAGGTCTGGGGACCCGGCTCCCCACGTCTCCACCACCGCCTGTGATCACCTGAGGCTGCAGGATGGACACAGCACCTTCCCGGGGACCGACCGCCCCCAGCCTGGGTCCCGGAGCCTGGCCCACGGCCGGGTGACATCCGAGAGGCCCAGCCCTGGCTCAGCCCCGCCTCCGAGGCTGGCCGTCCGCACCCTGAGTCCTACAGCCACACATCCGGAGCCAGCTCTCTGGCCCTGCTCCATCAAGGGCCGGCCTGTGCTTGTCGGCTTCTCTGCCCAAAGTCTCTCCCATTCCTCCCTCCTAATGGAAGCTTTGTCCTGCACACTAGCGCTTTTGTTTTAATTCCCATCACTACCCAAAGCAGGGACCCCAACAGCGGCAACACCTCCCCAGGCCTCCAGCCAATCTGGGAATTCCGCCGCGCCACCCTCCTACCCAGCCTGGCCCGCGTCTGCCCCACCTTTCCCCACCATCAGGGCACCGTGCCCCGCCGGGCTTCACCCCCCGAACCGGCTGTCCCTGCTATTCCTGCTGCCCACCACCCAGTCTCCTCGGCCAGCATGAGGACGAGTTCAAGGCCAGCCTGAACTACGCAATGAGACCGGTGTCCAAAACAGTGTAGTTCTCCGACGACTCCAGCAGAGGGAACCCTCGGCTTTGGAAATGCTGCGTGGGCGCCCCAAGCTCTCACCCGGAGGCCGAGATGGGGCGGCAGGGGCCTGGGAGGCCACAGTGCTCAGGGGGACGCTGTCTCGAAGTGAAAACTGCGAAAGGGGGCTGGGAGTGTGGCTCAGTGCAGTGGCCTCGGGTTCAGTCCGAGCTCTGAAGGAAAAAGGAGCAGGAGCGGCAATTTACCTCCCGGCTCTGGCCGGAGCCAGCCGCTGGGTCCCAGCCCGGAGTCCCCCACACACCCTGCCCAGGCGGGGAGCGCAGGCCGGCCGTGGAGATTCAGTGTCACGACCACGGGATGGCAAAGGCCAGGAGGAGGAGGCCACAGCGCCCACGGCCACCGTTCCAGGGGAGCTGCGCCCTCTCGGCCGGAAGAAAGCGGGCGGGCCGTCGTGGCCTGCTGCTCCGTGCCTTGGTCGGTTTTGCGTCAGTCTTGCACGGATGGACGGCTGCACGGCCATCCCGCACTGACTGCCCCTGCAGCCTAGACCGGTGCCGGGTCCCAAGGAGGAGGGGCATCTGCACCCAAGTTCAGGCATCACCGCGGAGTCCATCGGAGGCAGGGCCCCTCGCTCTCAGCGCAAACCCAGCTGCGCCAGCAAATATTACCCACAGTTCCGCTGAACAGCACCATGCAGCTTGGGGCGAACGGGCCGCAACCCTGCAGTCTCTGTCACCCCACCACCCGGCCCACGACCTATGTCTGCAAGAGCTTTGGGGGGCTTTCCTGAGACAGGGTCTCTATGCGGTTCAGCCTGGCCTCAAACTCACTAAGTAGCCCAGGCAGGCCCCGAACTCACAGCGATGTCCCTGCCTCAGCCCCCCAAGCACTGGGGCCACAGGTGTGCACCGCCACGCCCCTCTCCCTTCGCCCAAAAGGGGCTGCTGGCAGGGGCCTGGCCCTCTTCCCGGACGGCCCTGACTCAATTCCCAGCAGCAATGTGAGCCGCAGCATTGGAGCTGGGGGGCCACTGGGACCAAAGGGGCAGCGTCACGTGTTTCTGGGAAGCCACCCGGTGGAATCCCCAGCCTTGAGCTAAAGCAACAACTGTCCCCTCGGGCTGTGCCTGCTGCAGCGAGATGCTGGAGCCAAAAGCCCAGCAGACAGAGGCGAGGCTCACGTGCAAATTGAATCAGAGAATTGCATGAGGACTTGAGACGCCCACTCAAGGGTGAACAGCCCAGAGACGGAAGCCATCGGCTGCAAGAGCCTGGAGCCTTCAGGAGGAATAAACCGGCCACTTGGCAGCTGCGTAAACTTGAAGCTGCACACACCTCAGCTTGCCCTTCCGACCTAGAAACCTATGCATTTCTGCTCTTTTTTTTTCTTTTTTCTGTGGGGGGTCTTGAGACAGGGTCTTGTGATGTGATTCATGTGGCCTTGAGCTCACTGTGCAGCCCAAGCTGGGCTGGAACTGCAGCGATCCTCCTGCCTCAGCCTCCCGAGTGCTGGGATCACAGGCGTGTGCCACCGCGCCTGGCTTGGGGGACATTTTTGGTGGAAACCTCAGCAGCCTGCTCTGGGCCTGGGGCCGGAAGCTTGGGGTCCAGCTGGGCGGGGTGGGTGGGTCTTGGTCACAGCTCGGGGGCCCCCAAGTGACAGCCCTGACAGCAACACCTCTGCTCGGCCCTCTCAAGTGCATCCAGCCTGACCGGGCTCAGTCCCCAGCACTGCCTGGGCCTTCACTCCCACTGCTCTGTGACAGGTGCATTCCACACCGGCCACCGCATTCCTGGGGGCCAGGGCACCAGGGCCCACTCACCCCATGCATATCCAGCCCACAGCCCTTTCCGACCCAAAGACCATGCCAGGGCCGCTCACCACATAGAGCACAGCGAATGTGGCCTCCCAACCCCGACAGCCCTGGTGGGGACAGAACAAGCCACACGAGCCACACATCTGGACCAGGACTTGAGGACCAGGTGGGGCTCAAGAGGAGACACAGAACTCACTCCTGCTGCCAGGCACCATGACACACACTGCTAATCCCAACACTCAGAAGGCTGAGGCAGGAGGGTCACCTCTAGTTCAAGGGCAGCTTGGGCTGCAGGGTCAGACCCACGCTGGTCGTGAGCCCATGCAGGTCCACTCAAGGCCCTCACCATCCAGAACCCCGCCGTCCAGTCTGCGTTCCCAGCTCCCAGCAGGGACAACATTCGGAGCACCATCCTTGCCCTGGCTGGCACGGTGGATAAATGGACCCGTTTCTCAAACTCCCTGGTCTGTCTCTCTCTGTCTCTCTGACTCTCTCTCTCTCTCTCTCTCTCTCTGGTTTTTTGAGATAGGGTCTTGCTATGTCGCCCAGGCTGGCCTTGAACCCACAGCGATCCTCCTGCCTCAGCCTCCCCAAGTGCTGGGATCACAGGCCTTCACCACCATGCCCATTGGCTCCCTATTCGCTGCTTCTGCACCAAGGCCCAACAGCCAACCCAGGCCCCTAGCGCCCTCCACACCCCACCGGAGGCTGTGCTGTCAGCCGCACTGCTGGCTGGCGGCCCCTCCCCTCCCTGCAACCTTCGCGCACCTGCGTCAGGAAGACACGCAGCCTCCCCTCCCGCAGGACTCCAGCCCTGCCTGGCCTAGGACCCTCCCTCCGCGCTGACCCCTTGTCACAGGTCACAGCCCCGGTGGGCTGCTCCCCTGCGGAGCGGTCCCCCAAATTCCACCTCGGGGTGCCCCTGCAGGCCGGGACCCCAGGGTCACCCCGACCTCCGAGCGGGCCGCGCCATGCACTCTCCAGACGCTGATGTCACCGAAGTCGCCTCCTTGCCGGCAGATCCGGCCTGGCTTTGCACAGAACTCGGAAAACAATAAACAACAAGCTGCGCCCCTCGCTGCAATGGACAGGTAACAAGGACGAGAAAGAAGCCTGCAGGCGTTCAGCTCGGACTCCACACTTCTAGGCACGTTTCCTATCCTCAGTGGTCCCAGGGGATCCGGGGATCGTGAGGCTATAAAGCACCAGCTGTGAGCTGAGGAGAACAGCACTTGGGAAAAGATCAGTTCTCTTTTTCGCTGGGTGTGGTGCTGCACACCTGTAATCCCAAGGTTTTGGGAGGCTGAGGCAGGAGGATCACAATTTTGAGCCAAGCCTGAGCAATTCAGCAATCTAGGGAGATGCTGTCTCAAAATAAAAAACTTTTGAAAAGGGGCTGGGCATGTAGCTCACTGTGAAAGTCCTGGGTTCAATGCCCAGTAACTCAAAAAGAAAAAAAATTGGTGTATATTCTTGGTCAAGGCCAATGTTACAAATCAAGTGTGGTGACAGAGGCACAAGCATGACTTTGTTTGCCTAAAAAGTGTCTGAACACTGAGTACTGAGCAGGGTCTTGCTGAGTAGTCCTCCCTGGCCTTGATCTTGCAGTGATCCTCCTGCCTCAGCCTCTCGAGTGCTTCTATTACAGGCGTGCTCCACCGTGCCCGGCTAACTGAACACAATTCTAACAGGTGAGGCGCAGGACACCTTGGAGACACCCCTCACACACAGGGCTGGCAGCTCCGTGTCTCTAGCCTGCCACAGAGGGCCAGGTCACCTGCTGAGGCCTGCTCTGACCCAGTCTGCAGCAGGGCCCTTCTCGACCTGCCCTGGGGCAGGCGAGGGAGTCTGGCTCTTACCTGCCTGCACGGCCGTGATCAGAGCCGTGTTCCCCTCGTTGTCCTGCCAGTTGACATCCACATGGGGACACTCTGCCAGGGCCAACACGGTGTCCACAAAGCCATGGTAGCAGGCGACAATAAGGCCGGTCTGGAAACAAGAGGGAAGCGGTCAGAGGCCAGGGGCACAGCAGGCCAGGGGACTGGGGGTCGAGGGGCCCTGCGGTCCTCCCGGGGTGCCAGAGGTGGCTGCCAGGGCTGGGTCTCCGTTCCCCACAACACCTGCTCAAGCTCACCACTGGCGCACCAGCAGCTAAGGGGTGTGGAGGGGCGTGGAAGGCCCAGCAAGGGGACAGGGCTGGGGCAGGGGAATGAGGGAGGAAGAGAAGCCAGGTGACCCTGAAGCTCCTGCCTGGGCAGTGGGGCTGCCAGCAAAGGGGACGGAGGGGCCTGGGGATGCGGGGTCGGGACACCCCCCCGGCAGAGATCAGCACTGCATGGATGGCTTTTCTTTTTTTCTTTTCTTGTTTTTTGAAGCAGGGACTCATGATGTAGCCAAGGATGGCCTGTAACTCGAGGTGATCCTCCTGCCTCAGTCTCTCGGGTGCTGAGGTTACAGGCGTGCACCACCTCGCCTGGCACATAATTGCTTAATCTTTTACAGGAACCCACTCGGCTGTGGGCACTGAAATCCCTCTGTGAGCACTTCGTCCCTTCCACCCGCCCTGGCCAGAGCAAGCGCCCCTGGGTGCTGCTGAGCACCCTCCTGTCTTGCTTTCCAGCCTTCATCGCCTCTGCCAGTGTCAGGGGCCTGGGCCTCTGCAATCACTGAGTGCCGGGTGTGAGCTCTACGCAACTGCCAGCAAATACGCCCCAGATGTCACATGTCTTGGGGGAGTCCTCGATCACCACTCATCCGTCCCCAAAGGGACAGACAACACTTTGCTAGATGCCCACATTGCAAATTCAGATGGGAATAAAAACTGCACACTTATAGTCCCAGCACTCAGGAGGCTGAGGCAGGAGGATCGCCATGAGTTCAAGTCCAGCAGGGCTACACAGTGAGTTTAAGGCCAGCCTGAATTACACAAGCAAGACCCTGTCTGGAAAAAAATAAATTTTCTAGGGACTACCTTAATAAAGGCAAAAGGAAATTAATCCCAATGTGTATTTTCTTTGACCCAACATACCCTACACATTCTCATTTCATGGTGTGATCTATACAGGAAATGAAGAGACGTCTGACTCTCTCTCTCTTCTTGGGCTCAAGGCTGGGTTGTGCTACTTCCCGGGGCGCTAGGAAGGGTTGCACTGGCTTTGTCAGTGTCTGCCCTTGGCTTTTTTTCTTTTGAAACACAGTCCCGCTGTGTAGCCCCGACAGGCCCTGGACTCATGGCAATCTTCCTGCCTCGGCCTCCCAAATGCTGGAATTACAGGCGTGTGCCACCAAGCCCAGCCTGCCATTGGCGTTTTAATCTGCTGTCCAATTTGGATGCAAGCAAAGTCCTCGGCTTGTCCTTTCTGTGACGCCTGAGGCCTGCCCATTCAGACCCCACTAGGCCCATGCTGCACGCCAGCCCTAGGAGTCCGAGGCTCGAGTTTCTCCCTGTCTTCACCTCTGCAGATGCTTTGCAGAAACCTCATTTTGCTTCTCCCAGCAGCGTCTTTGAGCACAGCCTTCGCCTGCATTAAGTGATCCAGAGCAGGGGCTCAGGACACCCCCGACCCGAAATGCGTGAATGCATCTTGGGGGTTGGTTCCCCGGAGCAGCCTGATTTCCCCCTGCAGTCTGGAAACCCCCGCCCTTCCTGTCAAAGCCCCCGCACGTCGGGTGGCTGCAGGGATTCACTGTGTTGGACGCCCAATCCCAGGTGGCCTTGGGGGTCAGCAGGGTAACGCGAGCCTCTCAGTCCGGAGGGGTCCGTGCCAAGTCTGTGAAGGGCCCACCCTCTCGTGGGGCCTGCCCTTCTGCCTTCTGACTGACGACACCTAGCCTCAGAATCAGGGCCAAGGAAACTTGGGCAGCTCCTCAGCTGGCCGGTCTGCAGTGTGCTGTCACAGCAGCGCGAGACAGCCTGAGACAGTTAATTCCCAGCTTTCTTTTAAAAATGCAACTCGGCTGGGTGTGGTGGTGCATGCCTGGAACCCCAGTACTCCGGAGGCTGAGGCAGGAGGACCAAAGTGCAAGCCCAGCCTGGGCAACCTAGCAACCTCGTGAGACCTGTCTCAAAATTTAAAAAAAAAGAGGCGGGGAGGATGTAGTTCGATGCAAAGGCCCTGGGTTCCATTCCCAGTACACCCCCCCACCCCAGGTGAAAGAACTTCAGTTACAAAACTGCTAAACCGGTGGTAAAAGGAGACTCAACCCCCAGGCCACAGGCTGGGCGAAGACACCTGACAGGGCCAGCTCAGCTGCCCGGGACGCGTGCTTCTGCATCGACTAGACAGGGACCGAGGAAGCGGCTCGACAGCCCTGACCCATGATAAGTAAGACAGACTCAAGTAGAGGTCACCACCAGTATGTCACGGCCCACGCACCTCCTACGGATTTCCAAAGCATCCTAGATGCGCCATCTCCCTCTGGATGAAGTTTTGCATAAAATGTGAAATGTTTTTTGTTTTGTTTTGTTTTGTTTTTGAGATAAAGTCTGGCTATATAGTCCAGGCTGGCCTCGAACTCACTACGTAGCCCAGGCTGGCTTTAGGCTCACAGTGATCCTCCTGCCTCAGCCTCCTCAGTGCTGGGATACAGGCAAGCATCACCATGCCTGCCAAAATCTGAATTTTATATCATTCAAAACCTTTTCTGGACTTAAGATCTTGGAGTGCTGTAATTTTATCAGCTTACTCTGTTGCCTGTTCGTGTCTTGTCTCGGAGGCTGGCCTGATCGCTCCAAGGCTGGGAATGCTTTGCGCATGGCCATTGCACAGGCACCCAGGGACAGCAGCAGCTGACTAAACTGGCCAGGAGGCAGTACTGTGATAACTGCTGCCAGTTCCTCAGACCATTCATTACCCACTTGATAATTTGCAATCAGCACACTGTGTCACTGCACACCTGTCATCAAAGCACTCTGGAGGCTGAGGCAGAAGGATCGCCATGAATTTGAGGCCAGCCGGGGCTGAGAAGTGAGACCCTGCCTCAAAAAGCCAAAGCAAAACAAAAGTGACATTCTTTCCTACAATGAAGAGTTACTTCTATCTACAATCACAAAATACAACATTTTTAAGGAAATGAAAATTCTGGCAAAGCATCCCAACTCTTGCTTGTTTAATTATAGAACCAGCTCACAGGTTGTGAGGAAAACAGAAGCCTGCTTCTTATCTGAAGAAAGATGGGAGAATATAAATAAACTTTCTTTTTTGAGATGGGGTCTCACTATGTAGCCCAGGCTGACCTTGAAGCTGCAGTGATCCTCCTGTCTCAGCCTCCTGCCATCAAGCCTGAATAAATTCATAACACAAAATCAATCAATCAGTGAGGAACAAAGCGTACCTTTCAGGATCTATAGCTTACAATCAGCTTTATGAATTTCTCATGAAAATACTCCATAAAATTCCAAGAAAGTAATCTACGTTGTGCACTAATGTTGAATTCAAAGGATTACACCTCTTTTTAGATAGGCAGTGTTCCCAAGCTTCTGCCTTCTGAAGCTTCGAAGGCACAGAGCCCTCGGCCTGTCCATTAATGACAAATCCTGCTCTATCTCACATAAGGTGCGGCAGGACTGGGTGCAGTCCAGCCCGGACTGCAGAGGAGCAACTGGCAATCGCCCCGAATCCACGCAGTGGCCACGTCCTGCGGGCTCTGGTTCCACTGCAGCCACTCAGAGCGGGGCCCTGGAACAATACTGAGAAACGCAGAGCCCCGGGTTGCTCAGCCTCCGGAATCAGAGGCCACGTTTACCTTAACAACGCCCGGGAATGAAGTACGAGCGAACATACAGTGAACGTTTAAATTACAAACCAGTGTATTACAGTAAGAGATCCACTGCCCTGAGTCCCCTCCCCTGCTTCAGACCCACTCATCCCATCATTCTCAGCTTTCTGCAGCAGCTCTGGAGTCCTCTTTCGTGAGTCTCCAGTTCTGCTGCGCTGACTGCCTCCAGGTCCCGAATCCTCTCCAAACGCTTCCCTTTCGTTGTCATTTTGACTTCGGGGAGCACCAGGTCCCATAAGTAAGGGGCATGAGGACACAGCGGCATGTTTTTAAGAGCTCCCTTTCTGTGGGGTGAGGCTTGGCCGAAGCACTCACCAAATTCTTTTAAAATCACGTCTGGTGATAAAGGCACGCAGGAAAGAGGACTCCAGAGCTGCTGCAGAAAGTGGCAGGAGAGACGGGGCGAGTGTGTTCGAAGCCAGGGGGAGGATGTCCAGGGCACACCTGGCAACTTTACTGTAACAAACTTTTTAGATTTATGAACTCACAGGCGTTTCCATCACACCTTACGGTCAGCTGGACCCGAGTGCGGTCCCGGGCTGGCGCGTGGGTGAGGCCGGGATGGACACGGGACCCTTCCCGCCCTCCGGCAGGGACTCAGAGGGCGGTGACCGCCCCCCTGCCACGGGCCGGGCGCGGGGTCACAGGAGAAGGTCAGATCGCAGGACGCGCGCCCCCTTCTGTCCCCGGGCAGAGGAGGACACAGGCGCAGTCCCACAGGCAGAGCGGGTGTGGCTGACCCACAGGAAGCAGGCTGGACAGAGGTGCGCATCCACTCAGCACCCCGCCCCAAGACGCACAGATGGGGCTGGGCGCAGGGAGAGCTTCCCATGCGGAGGTTCAGGCTGCAGAAGGACCGGAAATGCCCCGGGGACTGCAGAAACTGTTCCAGGCCGGGAAGGGGGGACCACACCGCCACCGGAAGTGCACAAGAGCCAGTATGAGGCCAGAACTGGGCCTTCCAGGTCGGGACTGAGCACATGGAGGGACAAGGGCTGGCTCATATCTGTAATGCCACGACTCTGGGAGGCTGAGGCAGGAGGGTCACAAGTTTGAACCCACCCTGGGCAACTCAGCCACTCTGCAAGTCCCCATCTCTAAATAAAACGCTAACAAACTGGGCTGGGGATGCAGCTCTGGGTGAAGGCCTTCGGTTCCACCCCAGTACCCTAAACAGGTGGGGAGAGGGGAGCTGAAATATTCCCAGGGAT